GCAGCTGATTAATGTTTCTCATCAATGTTTCTAACTACGGATCTCTCTCTTCCTCTCTGTAAAAAAAAAAATCAATAAAAATATTTTTTTAAAAACGTCACTTAAAATGGATCCTAGGCTCAAATGTAACTAAAAGTTCTAGAGGAAACATAAGAAAAAAGTCTTGGTGATCTGGTGGTTAGGCAAAACATTTTTAGGCATCGAAGTGCTAACTATAAAAGGAAAATATTGATAAATTGGACTTCATCATAATTACAAACTTCTGCTTTGCTAAAGAACTGCTAAGGGAATAAAAAGCCAAGCCACAGACAGACATATCTTTGCAAAAACACGTATCAGATAAAGGACTTGTATCTGGACTATATAAAGAACCCTCTGGTGGGCTAGAAGGGTCAATGAGAGAAGAAAGGGGACATATGTAATACTTTCAACAATAAAATTTAAAATATATTTTTATTGATTTCAAAAAGGAAGGGAGAAAGAAATAGAAGTATCGCTGATGAGAGAGAAGCAGCAATAGGCTGCCTCCTACACGCCCCACATTGGGGATTGAGCCTAGAATCTGGGCGAGAGCCCTGACCAGGAATCGAACCGTGACCTCCTGGTTCATAGGTTGACGCTTAACTACGGAGTATACTAACTGGGCAACGATAAAGATTTTTTTAAAATTAAAAAAAAAAAAAACCTCTCAAAAGTCAATAATAAGAAAGCCAGCACGCACCCCCTAAAAAAAACTAGCAAAATATTTGCACAGACACATCATCAAAGAAAATGTACAGAAAGTAAATAAGCACATGAAATATGATGGTTTGGCTCAATGGATAGAGCGTCGGCCTGCAGACTGAAGTGTCCCAGATTTGATTCCGGCCAAGGGCACATGCCTGGGTTGCGGGCTTGATCCCCCGTAGGGGGTGTGCAGGAGGCAGCCAATCAATGATTCTCTCTCATCATTGATGTTTCTCTCTCTGTGCCTCTCTAAAATCAATAAAATATATTTTAAAAACAAACAAACAAACAAACAAAAAACCAGAAAGAGAGACCATACCAAATGCTGGTAAGGATGCAGAGAGATGAAGATTCTGTGTGCTGGTGGAAAGGGAAAATGGTACCGCCCATTGAGAAAAACGTTTGGCAGGTCCTTCTAAAGTTAAACACAAACTTAGCCTACAAGCCGGCCCGTCCCACTCCTATTTACCTAAGAGAAACCAACATGTACGGAAGCCTGTGTGGGAATGTTTACAGTGGCCTCGTACGTAATCACCAAGAACTGGAAGCAACTGAAATGGCCTTCAACTGGTGAACGGATCGACAAGCTGTGCTGTGCTCACAACACGAAACCCTTCTCAGAAATAGGAAGGATGGACGGCAGCTCCCCGCAGCAGTGGGTTGGATCTGGATGTGTTAGGTTGAGTGAAAGGAAGCCAGACTCAGGGTTGCTTACTGAATGGTTCCATTTATATGAAATTCTGGAAAAGGCAGAGCTATAGAAGCAGGAAGCCGATCAGTGGCTGCCGGGGACCCTGGGGTGGGGAGAGGGGCAGACTCCTGCAGAGGGCAAGGGAATTTGTGTGTGTGTGTGTGTGTGTGTGTGTGTGTGTGTGTGTGCTATTTCATGTCATGGTTGGCGCCGCTGAGTACCTGACTATATGTTTATCCAGCTCGTGCAATTGTACACAAAAGGAGGGAACGTTACTGTAGGTCATTCATACCTACTTCTGCTTTTGCTAAAGAACTGCTAAGAGAATAAAACAAAATAAAAACAATAACAGCTGACATTACACCATAGGTTAAGTGCCAGGCAGATTGAAGTACTTTACATATCTTAATTCACTCAATCCCTGCAACTACCCTGTGATGTGGGTATTAATTATCCCCAAATTGTGAAAGTTTTGTCCCCAGAGCCCTCTCCCCGTCTTAGTCTCCAAGCCACTCGGTTTGACCCTCACGACCCTCCTCCTTCTGTGCCTCTCCCCTTTCCCGGGACCGTCTCCTCTCGCCCACGCCATGTAGGAAGTTGTTCGGAATGAAGCTAGTGGGGATCTCAAACTCCCATGCCTCCAGAGACCAAGCAGGCGATGCAGACCAGCAAACCCCACGACAGGGACAACAGGGCATGGTGGGGCCAGTGGGAAGCTGGGGAGCATGTGCTGTGTCTGAAGGGGACGGTGGCTCCTCCGCTCCAGCCGCTACAAAGCGGAAACAATATGGGCCCAGTGTTGTCAGATCTTCGGATAGTTCAAGGAAATCCCGACATCCTGATGTTTCTGTCGGTTTTTAAAATGTTAGCAAATAAGTCACATTTTAAAAAAACCGTTTAGCCGAAACCGGTTTGGCTCAGTGGATAGAGCGTCGTCCTGCGGACTGAAAGGTCCTGGGTTCGATTCAGGTCCAGGGCATGTACCTTGGTTGCGGGCACATCCCCAGTAGGGGGTGTGCAAGAGGCAGCTGATTGATGTTTCTCTCTCATTGATGTTTCTAACTCTCTATCCCTCTCCCTTCCTCTCTGTAAAAAATCAATAAAATATATTTTAAAAATATCTTAAAAGAAAAAGAAGAAAAATAAAAATCGCCCCCATCCAAGCAGATAACTGGTGTTAGTTAACATGGTGCACTCTCTGACATATACACATAAATATATGAATTTATTTATTTTTGAGTTTGATATAAAATTACTGATAATTTTTAAATTTTTTTTGTTTTGTTTTGTTAATTCTTACCCGAGGTTATTTTTTACATTGATTTTTAGAGAGTGGAAGGGAGGGAAGAGGGGGAAGGAGAGGGAGATTGGTTGCCTCCCACATGGGCCCCAACTGGGGTTAGGGATCAAACCTGCAACCTAGTTACCTGCCCAACCTCCGACCCTTTGGTCTGCTGGCCAATACTCTAACCACTGAGCAGAACCAGCTAGTGCTACTAATAACTTTTTATTTATTTATATATTTTAAAATATATTTTATTGATTTTTTTTTTTTTTTTTTTTTTTTTTTTTTTTTTTTTTACAGAGAGGAAGGGAGAGGAATAGATAGTTAGAAACATCAATGAGAGAGAAACATCAATCAGCTGCCTCCTGCACACCCCTTACTGGGGATGTGCCCGCAACCAAGGTACATGTCCTTGACCGGAATCGAACCTGGGACCCTTGAGTCCGCAGGCCAGTGCTCTATCCACTGAGCCAAACTGGTTAGGGCCTGATAACTTTTTAAAAGTTGTTTTTCCATCCAATATATTATGGACTTCTTCCCATGCCAATATATATATACATACATCATTTAATATGTAGTGTTTCATTGTATTTGGGGCCATATATAACCCAATGACTTCCTTCTTGTTAGACATTACATTGTTCCTGTTCATGCTTTATAAACGGCACTGCAGTCCTCATCCTTGTACACATATCCTCGGGCTAAAATTATAGAAGTGAAAGCTGGGCATTTCAGAGTTTACCAGGAAGAAATAATTCCAGGTAAAAGAAGGCAAATCATAGGCTGGCAGCTTCATATTTTTGCAACCAGTGTTCAAAGCCGTGGTCCCAGGTGGCGTCCTCCTCCTCCTCTGGAGAGACATCTAGGAAAGAAGTGAGTGCCGCCCCTTAGGTAAACCCTTCCTCCCCTCCATCCCGGGCACCCTCCCCTTCAGGAGGAGGGAGGGGCCAAGCGCTCAGCCTGCATCCAAATGTGGAAGTGAAACTGGCTTCAGAGTAGGGGAGGGTGAGTCACTGGAGGACTCCGCAGGTCCCGCTGGGGCCAGGGTGGGTGCTCTGGGCCCAGGGGCCTCACTGGGCCTCTTGATGCCCTGCCAACCCACCCTCTCCCCACACCACTCCCACGCCAGGCTGGCTCTGAGTTCCTAAAACCTTCTCAGCTTTCTAGAAACGTTAACCATTAGATTGAACCATACCAAATTGCCGTTCCTGTAGGTCAACAGTGGTATCGGCATTATTTAGATATGTCTACATTCCACATGTACTGAACACTCATCCTGGGCCAGGTGTTGTGTCTGAGCACTTTGTATTCTTTTCTTCTTCTTCTTCTTTTTTTTTTTTTAACTGTCACAACTTTCTGGTGCATCGGAACTGTTCCCCCACTGGACGGAAAACAAATCTCTGGCTCAGAATTTCCCTGGCTCGCCCTCCAAACTTAAGATCTTAAAACAAGCGTTTCTTGCGGACACAGACGGACTGCGATCTCCCAGGAAAAAAACGCCTCCACTTGGCAGAGCCACCTCTGTGTTAAGCGAGGTCTCGGGGAGAAGTTTCCTTGACCTTGTTTTCAAGGTCGGAAAAATGCCTTTTGGTATTCTGGGACTCAGTCTTCCCATCTGTAAAATGGGGACAACCACCACAGCGCCCCGCAGCTGTTGAGGACGCAGTTCCGGACTCTGCAGAAGAAAGCGGGGTTGGGGTTGGGGTTGGGATTGAGGTTGGGGTTGGGGTTGAGGTGGGGGGCCAGGAGAGGCGGGAAGGGGGAGCCCCACCCCCACCCTCCACGTGGAGGGCCCGCCCCGCCCCGCCCCGCCCCGCCCGCAGCTCGGCCGCAGGGCGATTCTCCGGAGCGTGGGGCGGGGTCAGCGCCGCGGGCTCGGCCTGCGCCTCCCCTAGGCCAGGACACTGGCGACGGACACCACCTGGCCACCGCGTCCCCCGGGCGCCCGGACAGCCCGGAGGGGAAGGGGCGGCGGGGGCGGGGCTCAGAGGCGTGGCCCCGGCTCTGCCTGTTTTTTTTTCTTTTTTCTTTTTATCCGCCTAGATACCGAAAGGCTCCCCTGCGCCTTTAAGAGGCCGAGGCGGGCATCCGATTGGCCGAGACGCGCTGCTGACGTCACTCGGGGGCGGGCGCCGAGGCGGCCCTGTCGGCCCGCGCCCTCCCCGCCCCCCATCACGCCCCGCGGCGCGCTCGCTCGCTCGCGGGCAGTCGGCGCGCGGGCCGGGCTGGCGTCCCCCTCAGCCTCGCCCGCCCGCGTCGCCCCGGGGCCCCGGGGGATGCCCCCGGCCGGGCGCCCCCATGGCCGCCGACGTCTTCATGTGCTCCCCGCGCCGGCCCAGCAGCCGGGGCCGCCCGGTGCTGCTCAAACCCCCGGTGCCCGAGGACGACGACGACGACTCGGACACGGATGAGCCGTCCCCGCCGCCCGCCTCCGGGGCGGCCCCCGTGGCCCGGGCCCCCGCGAGCGCCAGCGCCGCGCCGCCGCCGCCCTGGGCCGCGCCGGGCCCACGCGAGGAGCCGCCGCGCCGCCAGCAGATCATCCACAGCGGCCACTTCATGGTGTCGTCGCCGCACCGCGAGCACCCGCCCAAGAAGGGCTACGACTTCGACACGGTCAACAAGCAGACGTGCCAGACCTACAGCTTCGGCAAGACCAGCTCCTGCCACCTGTCCATCGACGCCTCGCTCACCAAGCTCTTCGAGTGCATGACCCTGGCCTACAGGTAGGGGACCCGGCGACGCCGTCCGGCCCCGCCTGTCCAGCCGCGCTCCCCGCGTTGCGTTGACAAAACCAGCGTTTGGGGGGGTGGGGGAGCCGAGGGGGGGGGCTGGGCCGCCTTGTGGGGGGACGTACCCCTTGACTCCACGCATGCCCTCGGGGTCGGCCCCCCCTCCCCCCTTTTGGGGAGGGTTTATGGGTCCGAGGTCCCGGCCTCTTCCCCTGCCAGCAGGGCGCCGCTTCTTCCGGCTTCGCGCTTCCCACGCGTGCCCTCCTCCTCCTCCCGGGGTCCCCGAGGCCGCCACCGATTTGGGACCGGAACGAGGTGTCCCTGCGGGCTCGGCCCTCCTCGCAGACGCCTCGTGTGTTTCCTGCAGAGTCGTGACGACCACCTGCCCGGCCGTGGTGGCGCGGGGCAGGTGCCAGCCTGGACCGGTGGGAGCCTCTCCTCCCGGATAAAGGGGGTGGGGGGGGGAAGGCGTCGGACCTGCTTGGCTCGGCTGCTGTGGGGATGGGAGGTGGGTGGGTTGCCGCGCTCCCTGACGCCGCCGCCGCCGGGTGTCTGGCTCCTAGCGGAAGGCTCCTTTTCTTGTCCCAGCACAGGGAGGCTGGGTCTCCTGGCACCCCCAGCTTGGGAGGGGCCCTGGGCGTCTCCCAGGAAGACTTCTGGAACCACAGCTGTTGGAGGGGCAGCCTGTCCTCCTGGCACGTCCGAGGGTTCGCTGGCCCGGCCCTGAAACATTATACGGAGATGCCCGGCGTGGAGGGCAGGCATCCCAGACACCACCCTGACGTGTGTGGAGTTGGCTCTGGGGCAGAGGGGAGGCACTGAGATGCCAGACCCTCGCTTTCCATTCTCTCCCTTCCTCCCGGTGTTAGGTCTTAGCCTCAGGCGACTTCCGCCTCAGCAGCAGAACTTCTTTGGACTCTGCAGAGAGCCCCGTCCTGCACCCGAGCTCGCCCCTGGGTAGGATCTCTGCGAAGCGGGGTTACTGATTCAGGGACTGGCCTGGCTCGGGCTGGCTAGGGTGTTCTCTGCAGGCAGCCTAGGAAGTTTCCTAGGAGATTCCAGAAAAGTGTAAAGGAGAAGGGGGACATTTCCCACCCCCACCCCCTTTTTTTGGGAAGGGAGAGCCATGAACCCAGACTACATTCAAGTTAAAACATTACCCATTTACCGGAAGTCGAAACGCTAGATACGGGACTCGGGGTGACATTTTCCTCTTCTGGAATAAATGATTAATCCATTTGTTCCTTTGTTATGTTCCTGAAATGCCCCCACCCTCCCATTTCCTCTCCAAGGCCTTCCCTGGCGGTTTGTTTGCCACATGGCTGCAGCAGGTTACCCTTTAATGGCGCGTTGGTCCGGCTCTGCTTTGCCGCTCTGGTCTTGCCAGTTTGAGCTGGCACCGGGCCTGTGAAGATGTTCTGTTTTGTTTTTTGTTTTTAAACAAATGGTATTGAGGCGGCGGCCCTCGGCCTTCCTTGTAGCTCTGCTTACACCATCTCAAATGTTGAGCGCTTCCATTGGAATCAAACCCATTGCATATATGCCCCCGTGTGAGAGAGCCCTCTCACACAAAGCAAGGAGTGAAAGACAGGAATGTGCTTTATTAAAAGAACTTAATCCTCTTCTCTATTTTAATATAAACTCCACATACAGGGAGAGAATGAATGACTGAGTTGCAGGAGGAATGGGCTAGCAAAGAATAAACCAGTCTCCCTTTTGCCCTCAGCTTAGATAACCTAAAGGAATTTTAGCAGTGGCATTCCCTGCCTCACACACACTTCTTTCAAAAGTATTTTGGCAACCGGCCATTGCTCAATTAACTTTCTTGATTGCAAAATGCACACTTAGTTTGATTGGAAACTTACCTTGCCCTTAGCACCTCCCACCCCACTGGCTCTCTCCCCGTGCCCAGGTCCTGCCACTGCAGGTCCCCAGTGGGGGCCTGCCTGCCTGCCTGCCGAGTAACTTCTCATGAGGGTGCTCGGCCTCTCGGTGGGAGGCTGGTGTGATGGCCCTCAAGTTGAGTTGGCAGTGTGGAACTTTGGTACAGCATGACAGGAATGACTCAAAACCAGTCAGTGGACTGGGATGTAGCCTCTGGCTTAGAACTGGGAACAGGAGGGAGTTTCTGTCCTCAGCTGCTGTCATGAGCACTGGCTGGCTTTCAGAGAAGTAGGATCCCTTAGGGGGCAACCAGGGAGGAAAACTTCCCCTCAGAGGTGGCCTGACTCTCCTTTCGCTGGGGCCTGAGCCTTCACCACTGTTTGCCGTTTTTCTCCTTCTCCTCGGCCAAGAGGAAGGCCAGCCGGGCCTCCCCTCCTGGCCTCCTTCCTCTGCTGCGTGACTGTTTCTGGCATGGGCTTTCTAACCAACTTCCTGTGTGTCCCCTGGCCTCCTCGTGCTAGCTGCCTAACTCCCTGGTACACTCTGTGCTATATGGTTGTTGTTTTGGTTTCCTGTAAACTGCTGCCTTCCAGCTGTTTCCAGATGAGGTTCAACAGCCCTTTGGAGGGAGGAACTAAGTGCAGGGGAAGTTGTGGTTATTTCCCCCCCAGTCCTGTGAAGTGGTCTGGGACTCTGAATGTGATCTCTTCCTGAACATGCAAAGTCTTGGCCTCCTGAAGGGTCTTTGGCAGGCCGACTTCGGGTGGGGAAATAGGATGTTGGAGGAATCGGGACTATGTGAGTGCCCAGTGGCCCTCGTGAGTGAATAGCAGTGCTGATGGGACTCCAGTTTCATCTCGTTTCCTTAAGACTATCTTGATTGTGTGCTCAATAATTGGGACATTTTGAAGGGAAGTAGTTGCTTCCCTCAAGGCAAAATCTCCATGATAGAAGCTTACCTTTCCTCAGCCTTTCTGTCTGTCACAGTAAAATGGGGAGGAGAAAACTGCCTTGCTGGGTGAATGTTAGGATTAATTGAGACAACGTCTGCGAGTGTGTCTCGTACCTGGCAAATAGGAGGTTTAACAGGCGGAATCCAACTCCGCATCCTCATTCAATTGACATTGACTAGGAGCCCAAGTTTCTCATCTGTAAACTAAAGGAAATGATGTATCTGACGGGTCATTTAGTGTGGCTTTCAAACGTGTGCTCGACAAATACTCAATAGACACATTCTTGGTTTGCCCATATTTTCTAAGGCTCCACAATGGAGCTATGCACTCTAGGACATAGTTCACAGCATTTTAAGGACCGTTACACATGCAAATCATCCACACAGATTCTGAATGCCTCTAGTATTTAGCTATTTGTGGTTGGTTTTGGTTTCACTTCTCTAGCTTTTTATGTAGCTCTTCCTTAGGGAGTCTTGGCATGAACGTGAGGGGAGTGAGGAGTGATGGTCTTTTTAGGTATATAGAGATAAGCAGGAGCTCTCTGCTCAATGGGTTTCTGATGAAGTGGAGATTTGAGGAGACCTTCAATTTGGACCTGTAAGTTAGCCTTGGAATACAAGTTTCTAGACTGTGACCTTGAGTAAGTGTAGCCTGTATGGCAACCCCCTATTCCTGACCCAAGGTGGGAATCTCTGTCAGAAGTAAGGAATAGCTGGGATTAAAGGTTTAGAGCACTGTGCTCTTCAAACTTTAACTTTTCAAAAGAAGAACTTTCTGATGCTAGGCCTGGTAACTAGTTGTAAATGGGAACCATTTACACAAACGACTAAGTTAGTTTGACTCTTCTGCAATCATGTTGAAGAGACAATTTTTCTCCCCGTGCTTTCCTTAGTCGTTTATCATTGTACTAGGGGCCCAGTGCATGAATTCATGCTCCTTGAAAGTAACCGGGCCAGGAGGCTGCGATACACACAGGTGGGTCGCTCGGCCCATCCTCCCCGCCTCTGCCTTGCCCCTCCTGCTGCAGCCTGGTCCCTGTCTGCAGGCAGCCCCCCTTCCCCTGCCATGGCCACCACTCCCACACACTGCTGGTGCCCACCCCGCTTGTACCCCCTGAAGGCGTGGAGCGATTGGGGCTGGCACCAGCAGCAGGTGCGAGTGGGGCTGGTGGTGTCACGCCGGAGCGGCATCTGATCATGCTTCAGGAACAGGGGGAGGTAGAGAAGCCCTCAGGGGTGATCAGGGGCGATCAGAGCCAGCGCCACCACTCACACCAGCTGATGGTGCCAAGCAATCTGGGCACCAGCAGCGGGTACTACAAGCAGCAGTTCCTGTGATGACTACAGGTGTGAGTGGGGCCGGTGCTGGTGGTGGGTGTGAGAGGCAGCTGCCAACCCCCAATCTCTCCTTAGGAGCAGGGGAAGGCAAAGAAGCCCCGAGGTGCGATCAGGCCTGCAGTTGCTGCTCACACCCGCTGACGGTGCTGAGTGATCGGGCCGGTGCTGGGCGCTAGCAGTGGGTGCGAGTGGCAGCTCCAGCGCCAGCAGTGGGTACAAGCGGGGCTGGTGCTGGCAGCAGGTGTAAGCACTGGGTAGGACCGTGGTGGGCAGGAGCAAAGAATTTTCAGTAACCACCAGAGGCTCTCCCCAATGACAGCGACTGGCACCCCACCTTGGTCTGGCACCCCCACTCACTGTTCCATCATCCTGCTGCAGCCGATGCCTGCCACGTTCTACACACACACACCCTGGTGGTCAGTGCACATCATAGCGACCGGTTGTTCCACTGTTCCGTCTATTTACATATTAGCCCTTTATTATAAAGGATAGTGTGCCATTAAAGGTTTGGACGGGAGCAAGGACTATCGAGATGAGAAGGACAGGCTCTTTCCTCAGGAGCTCACAGTCTTGGAGTGGGCAAAAGACAGACCATTGTAGAGCAGTTAGCAAGGACTGTGATAAAAAAGAAAGGTGAACCAGGTCAATGGCGGTGCCAACGACTGAGTGTGTGTGTGCTTACATAACTGGTATCAATATGGATGTTTCCCCTGACATCAGGGTTTAATGTGCATTGCCCTTTTCTGTGTTAAGGGTTAAAAATTATGAATTACATTGCCCTGCAGGAAGCCCCAGTGTCCCTTTTACCTATCATCTCCCC